TGGATTTGATTGATTGACCAGTCCAAGTGCAATGGACTTGGTTGACTACGAAGTTTAAATGTCTTGGATCTTGCATGTTTGTCAGACCTATGTTATTTTGGATTTGAATATATGTCAAGTCTAAGTACTTTGGGTCTGGCAAATGTTTGTCAGACCCACATTAACTCATTTCCTTAGGGGTGCCCAAGGAAGGATATGCATTTTATTAGGTGTGCCAAGAAAAACTGATAATTCCTTTTGGCATGACAAAAGATTATGGTAATTTTCTTGAGCATGCCAAATGAGGATGATTATTATTGTCATAACCTAATTTTTTACAACACAAATTCATTAAAAAAAGAAAGAAATGAAAATAAATAAAGAATAAATTGAAGTTGGGGTCAAGACAATACAAACTAAGAATTTTGATGACTAATTAGGGTGGAATTATAAATTTAGGGAGTCATTTTTATAGAAATTGAAAGAATTGATAAATTTAGGGACTTAATTAAACTTTAATTTAGTTTAGATAATGGAACTGAGAGCTTAATTGAAGAAATATTAAAATTCAAAGCTGATCAAGGTTAAAATTACAAGAAATTTAAGTCTAAGAACTAAAGTAAAAGGGGGGGTATAGGGAGTTTAATTGATTTTTTCATGGGTAATTTTGAAAAAAAATAGAAGTTTAAGAGTTAATTAAGGACTAAATTGATTAAATTAAAAACCAAGGATTGTTTTGTAAAGAACACCGAAATACAGGGGTTCAATTGAATTGATTCAGGAAAAAAAGGAACAAAAATAAAAAGGACAAAAGAAGAGAAAAAAAAGAACAGAGAAGAAAGAGGACAAAAAAAACATAAGAATATATATATATAAGGGGGGAAGAGAGATAGAGCATGAGAAATGAGGGGATAAAGAGTAACAAATAAAAGGACGTTGATTGGCCAGGTCATCACCAACCTCTTCATCTTCGATCTTCAAGCTCCAAGTTAATACTTTATTTTTCTTTTCTCATATTGCATTTTTAATTACATTAGTACTGTTGTCAATCGATAGTGCCCGAGTTTGCCACCAACTCAAGTCAATGACCAGGTCAGTCCTGCTGGGTCTAGCCTAGCCAATACAACTAAGCTAGACCCAACAAAAAAAATAGAGAAAAACCTTGTTTTGATGTTAGGTCGGGTTTGGGGCTTGAGGCCTAGCCAATCCGAATGACTTTGGGTTAAAGATGTGTTTGAAAAAATACATCCTTATGCCTTTGATATTTATTTTATTCCTCTTTTATATATATATATATATAGTCAAATGAGTTCCTTTATTAATTTATTCATGAGTTTCTAGTTTTTTTTTTTTGTATTTTATGTCGTTTTGTTTTTTGTTATAATTCAATCTATGAATTTTTACCACAAAATATAAATTTTTATATAAAACAAATGCATTAGAAATGCTCATGTATTTATTTATGGCGTTAAAAGACTTCTAATTCGACTGTGGTTAAATGTGTGGTTCACAAAGTAAATATTCTTTTATTTAATACTATTAAATTTTTATTGTGTTTTTTTGTAAGATTATAGAGGCTTTTATTATTATTATTATTATTATTATTATTATTAGCAAGCTTTCTTTTTTATACATCATTCTTTTTATATTTCATTTGGTTGTTTTACTATGATTATCTATTTTTTTATCATATAATTAAATAAAAATAATTTTTTACAAAATAAAGTTATTAAATCTAATTGGAGCCATGACCCTGGTCATGAGCACGTTAAGTTAATCTAGATTAATCCATGTTGATCTAAGATATCATCAATTGAATATTGAAAGAATATGAAAAGTTCAAGATTTTTTTAAAATTGAATCGAGTTTTGACTGGTCATCCACCCCCATATTTGGATTTGACATCTTTATCTATTTAGTTCTTTAAACTTCACAACTTAATTTTTAGTTAGAATTAAAAAATTTTAATCTTTAATTAATGTTAGAATCTCTATTTAAACTTATTTGCACAAAAAAACTTCAAATTTTGTTTCAGATCAAATCAAGTTTTTCTTGGTCATCTAACCCACCATAAAATTAGTAATTTTTAATTATACATGTCTCTCAACTTCACAACTTAAATATTTAGTTAGCATTGTGATCTTTTTTTATACTTCACAAATTTTTACTGCAAAATATAAATCTTTATATAAAATAAATATGTTAAAAATACCCATGCATGCATTTATAGCGTTAAAAAATTTCCAATTCAACCTATGCTTAAATATGGTTCAATTAAGTGAATATTTTTTTATTTAATACTATTAAATTTTTATTGTGTTTTTTTGTAAGATTACATAGACTTATTATTATTATTAGCAAGCTTTTTTTTTTTTTGTGCAACATCATTCTTTTTATATTTCATTTGATTGTTTTACTATAATTATCTATTTTTTTTATCATATAATTAAATAAAAATAATTTTTATAAAAGAAAATTATTAAATCCAGTTGGATCCATAACCCAGCTCATGGGTACGTTAAGTTAATCTAGGTTAATCCATGTTGATCTAAGATATCATCACCTAAATATTGAAAAAATATGAAAAGTTCAAATTTTATTTTAGATTGAATTGAGTTTTGACTTGTCATCTACCTTTACATTTGGATTGGGCATCTTTATCTATTTAGATCTTTCAACTTCACGACTTAATTCTTAGTTGCAGTTAAAATCTTTTAATCTTTAGTTGACATTAAAATCTTTGTTTATACTTATTTGCATAAAAAGACTTTAAATTTTGGTTTACATCAAATTAAGTTTTTTCTCGATCATCTAACCTATCTTTAGATTAATAATTTTTAATCATACATGCCTCTCAACTTCACGACTTAAATATTTAGTTAGCATTGTAATCTCTTTTTATACTTATCTATGTATTGTCCTGGTTGAAGTTATAATCTCTTTCTTATACTTATTTGTTCATTGAAAAAACTAAAAGGGATAGTATAATCACTATAGCGCTTTTTATTATTGTTTTAGAATTATTGACATTGCAAATTGAAATAATAAAATTATGATTTTGACCTTTATAATAAAACACAACTAGTTTTTAGAAACGAGGGTAAAGTAGTTTTTTTTTGTCATTTTATATATGGTAAAATAACTTATATACCCTTAGAGGAAAAAATTAGTAAGCTCGTAGGCAAACATATTTTCTAATTTTTCATTTTAATTGTACATTAAAATTACTGCAATGCTAAAAAATTAAATGCTTTTTCCTTAAATTAAGGGGGTTTTATGTCTTTTCCATTTAGTTTTTTTTTTAATGATTATCAAGTTGAGAAGGAGCAATTTAATATTTAGACATGTATAAAATATTAATTAATTAAAGAAAAATACATTATGCGCAACACACATGAATCTCCCGCTATCTTTTTCCAGCCCGTACATCATCTTGCTGTGGATAAAATCCAGCTTCTACGATGACATTTTATTCTTCACAGCATCACCTCTATTAATGTGGAAAGCATACACCATAAAAATATTAAGTTTTGCTACAGTAACTGTTTCTATTTTTTCTTACTTCTTTCCTTTATTATCAGCTCTGTTTATTTACTGAAAAATAATTTTTTAAAAAATAATTTTTTAAAAAATAAATTATTTTTTGATGTTTCACGGTGTAATAGAAAATAAATTGAAAAATACTTTTTAGTATTTGATTATGTCATGGAAAATAAACTTAAAAATAACTTATTAATGTTTTATTTTTTTCAAATTTATTAAAATAATAATAAACAAATATTATAAATTAAAAAGTTGAATGAAAATAAAATTGAAATTATTTTTTTCATAAATTATCTTAAATAAAATAAATAATAATCAAAATAATAAAGATCAAATCTAAAAAATAAAAA